ACTCCAGAACGGTAAGCTGAACCTGAGGTAAGTTGAAGTAGATGACCTCCTAACTACCATTTCAATTTTTCGGGAAATTCAGACACCTGCAATTTGATAATCGTTTTTTTTACAATAAGTTAAACGATAATACGGATTAGGAAAATCTACAGATATAAATCAACAACACTTCTAAATGAAGTAAAGTAAAAATTCATTTAGCATTTATTAAAGTGTATTCGACTGCGTGTCCTAATTCCCACCCATAAAACCCTATCACCACCGTTTTCATAGGAAAACATACAGGGAGTAGGGATTAATGAGTGGGCCAACATAAGTTACTGTTGCCGGCTTTTATAATCTACCATATGTAGTGCCGTGGGTGATTGAGACCGTTACTGGGGTCGGATTATCCATAAATGCTGGGAGGACTACATTATTCTCGAATTTCATTCCTGGTCAGGGAAAGGTACCTCTGGGATTAATGACCGTCAGTTTGAAGAAGTAGACCGCTCACAATACCTCAGGGCAACACTGCTGCCGAATGGACAGATTAAAGACATCATTATCTCCCGAATGGATGCTGTTCGTTGGGTTTTCCCAATCCTTCGGAAGCGCCTATGGATCCGACGCGACATCTTAATAGTCACGAAGACCCGTTTGTGCCGTGCATCCGTCTTGTCAGTTCTGTACGATTGTGAATGCTGGACTTTGGTCGTGGAAAATGAGCGAAAACTGGAGGTATTTGATCACGGCTGTCTGAGAACAATCCGTCGACTGAAGTTCACCGACTTCGTGTCGAATGAGGCAGTCGGCACCCACTGAGAGGATATCTCAGGACATCCGAGGAAGATGACTGGAGTGGTTGGGGCACATCCTCCTTCGCCTGCCTCACGAGCTTAGTTATAATGTTCTCGATCTGGCGTCGCTGCCAACCTGGAGGCGTCCAAGAGCTGGGCAACTAGAGACCTTGGTCGAAACAGTCCGCCAAAACATGGAAGCCGTCCTTGAACCTTCTGTATTCAGTCTCTGTCGCTGGAGAAGAGAATGAGTTGAGCTTTCAAGATCCGCTGCCACAAATTGTCGCGCGCAGACATAAACGCAGGTGTATCAAGTACAAATAAGTAGATAATGGGAGAGCTAGGAGGACGAGAGGTCCGTCGCAAATCCTCCTTACGTTGTTTCAGTGCATAATTTCGTCTCTGAAAAATTCAATGTTATGGCTTCGAAGGTTGCCAGTTAACAAGCTACACCGTTCGTCCTCCCGATTTGACTGCATCAGTCCCCTGTTGGTGCGATCTTTATGACAACTCGATGAGACACCCGAGTCCTCTTCGAGATGTTGTTCGTGCGATCACAAGGATGAGTCAGTGTCGAGCACGCAAAAGTGTGAACGCGACCACTGTAGCCATGTCCACTTGGGCCTTGTGTTGCAATGTGGACACTATGCATGTTAGTCGGTTGAGTAATTTATACTCAGCGAAGATCTCTATGTTGGATAAGTGAAGTAAGTTGCATTCCGAGACGATATGATGAAAAGAAAGAAGATCTTCGGAAAATCGAGTTGTACTCGTGAATTTTCGAACCGGTATCACTTGTTCGTCGTCAGACTAAATGACAAGTGAGGGCTGGGAATGTCGCACTAGAGGTTTTGGGGGCAGAGGTTACAAC